TTTATATATTTTAAAAATAATAAAAAAATATAAAAATAAAATACCAAGAAGTATTGTTAAATAAAACCTAACAAATTATCTCACAATGTTTTTAAATGCTAGGGCGTGTTTGGTAGGAAACATTTTCAAGAAAAAAATTTCAACGAAGGGATGAGCAAACAAACTATGATTTGGCTTACGAAGTTAAAAATCTCCACAATAAATGAAGCATAAAAACTAGTTCGTTATTTCATGCCTTAATTAATTTTAAAAGCAATTGTTATAAAAGTAACTAGTTATCCACCTTGGAAAATTTTTGAAAGGAAATCTTTTGAGATTTTTTGTCTATAAATAACTTTTGAGTTGTATAATTGATCCATTTTTTATGAATATTATTTTATAAGTCAAATCTAATTTTAAAATCAATATTTATAAAAATTAATTTTTTTAAATATATTAGATTAATATTGACTATGTGCATTTAAACTTATCTAAAAAAAATTAATATCAAGATAAAAAAAAAAGTTTAACTAAACACATCTAATGATAAATACCAACAAATGAAAAAAAAAATTCTAATTGATTTCCAAAGCATATTACCTTTCTCCAATTTTCAGACATATTTTTCATAACTGGACCCGCGATGTTGCCTACCAAACATGCCCTTTAAGTTATATTTGGTAAACAGTTTGATTAGGAAAAAATATATTTCTCATCCAACCTTATCTTAAACCAATCATGCTTTTAAATTGCTCTCTTTTCTATATAAGATAATAATAATAAAAACAATAATAAATAAATAAATATTATTTTACTAATGTTAGCTAAAACCTAATAGTAATAGATAGATAAGACTTAATTGTCTTTGTCAAGGAATCCCCAAAGAATTTCCTTTATGTCATTCCATGGTATGACTATGAATGGCCCATGTGCTCCCCCATAATTCTACACAGTATAATTTCATGATTGAATCCTAGAAGTAAAAACCCATATACAAATTAATGAGAAACATAGGAGAGGGAAAGGAGTTCACGGGCCATGTTTGATGGCCATCTAAGAAATTGTAGGGCTATACAAAATATAGTTTGTGTAATTAATTTATTTAATTTTATCAATTTATATATATATAAATTTTAAGGTGGTTAAAAATATTGTTTTATTAATTAATTTAAATTATTAAATAATAAATATTACTTATTTTATTTGTTATTAATAATTATTTTTAACCATCAAATTAAATACAATTATATTATTTTTGTGTAGTCTTAATATTTTCTTGAATGGTTATAATTATAATTAAATTCACCCTATTATAATTTCAAATCTCCAGTTTAGTCTTTCAATATAACACCTTGTATCTTACATTAATATGGGATGAATTATAAATAAATTTTATATATAATTTAAAAATTAACTATTACTAACAACTTACATTTAATTTTTTAAGAGTTTGTAGGCTTTAGTTTAAAAAATTATTAGACGACAAATATCTAATTTTGAACTAACTCGTTTCACCTAAAATTGTAAAATGTTGAAGAGAGAGAGAGAATAAGTGTACCTTAGTTCTTTATGAAGGATATAACCTTTGCATTCTTTTACTAAATAACGTTTCAAAAAAAAGTCACATCCATATTCGTACAAAATCTTCCAAAATTGATACCATTGCCAAATACAGAAGGCAAAACACTCAAAATTTTAAACATTAGCATTTTTATTTTAAACCAAACATTGGGGCTGGCTTGATAGAAATGGAACCTTTGAGAAAGTAGATGAGGATCCCACAGAAACTCATGCCTCTGCATGTTTTGCTTCTGTCTTGGTTCCAGATTTGGGCTGATTCTCAAGGCCACCACAAGTACCCATTCCATGTCGTTTTGTTGCTTGTTTGGTATCCAAATATGTCATCCTAATAAATTTTTTTCACCCACCACGCATGCTTAGATTGGTCTGTAGGTATCTCTAAACAATCCATCCATCAATCAATCCCTGAATGAAGGGTAGAAATAGTTACAACATGGAAATTTTAGATGTTACATTACACCAAATTCCCAAGATAAGGTAATTGTGGGAGAGGGTGGAAATGGGATTTTCCTTTTTTTTGGGGGGGGGTGGGGGGGTGGGGGAACTATAGCATATTCATGTTTTAAGGGGGAAGGAGAAAGGGGTACCCGTGCTTGAACCTGCGATCTGCTGGCGGTAGTGGTTTGGGAACATTAGCGATAGATTTTGGACCCTGTTAGGCCAGGTGGATTACTGCTTAGGTAAGTCTAAGGCCTGGGTTGCTTCCCCTTGCCTGGCCACAGGTTCTTTGCTTGAGATCAGCCCGACATGCCAGCATCCATCATCTTCATTCTTCTTTCTGTGTAGTGTGTGCAGGTCGTTCTCTGTTTAATCCACATCAAAAAATGAAACAAAAAGAACAAACCAATATTATGATATCCAGCTAGTTCTACAAAGTTCTACACAGTTTAATGAAGTGAAAAACTGTAATACAGAGGAAAACGATAAAAAAGAAATGCCAATGGAACACCCCACTCAATTCTAGACACATAATAAATAGTTAAGCAACCGAAAATAGGCACACAAATTGATTGAGGAAAACAAATAAGACAACATGTCAGCTATATCTCTCATAATTCTGAAAAATCATGTTACTTGGCAAACAGTAGTAGAACCCAATACTACCCAATTGGCATAAAATTGAGAGCAGAGAAATGAATTATTGATTGCAGTCATAATAAAGAGTAAATAATGTAAACTGTTGGAATAATACAGCTTCAAACCATGGCCAAAATATTATATACATTTCCTGAGTCCTGATCTCAGGCTTTAATCTATCAATCAGAGGAGAAAATGGTCAAGCAGATGAACATGCTGTGTTTCAAATCATTAAAAAAAAAGGGAGGGGGTGGTGATGTGGGGGTTAAGAGCAGAACCTTATCAGTATTGGTTGTCACCACATATTCAGTCAAGGAAGTTATGCTGCACCACAGCCTCCACTGTGAAATCACAGAGCAAGGTAACAGCACATACGAACACAACAGACTAAAACATGTCGACAGATTAAAGAGCACCAGATCTATCAAATTGCTTTGATTGTCAAAACAACTTACTGCCTTTGTCTTCATGCTTATAAATGATTCCTCCCCATCTCATTCTAATTTCAAAAGATGCTAGTCGATGCTAGTCGATGCTAGTCGGTAGGACGATATAATGAGGTAGCAAATCTGACAGTACAAGTATGCGGCATCTTGGGTTAAAAATAACAAAGCAACAGTGGAAAACATTTTAGGAGTCAGCTTCAATGCTAAAAGGCATCACAATCATGCATGCATCAAACATTTTGAAGATAGCAAGTAGCCCTGGCTCCAATGCCTTGATGACATCCCTGCCTAACAAAGCAGATCATTTAATTAATGGAAGATGCAAAGAGGATCATATGAATGTGATGATTCTCAAAAAGGATAAGAGAGATGCAGAAACCAGCTCTATTCTGGGTCCCCATGAGACATCTATATTTTCAGTTTTAGTAGCCACAGAAACCACAATTACCAGTTAGTTAACATACTCAAATGTTTCAAACAACTCTTATACCATAACCAACAATAATAGCTGGAAAATAAACTGCGAAGTTAAAAAGGAAAAAGGAAGGAATAATTATGGGAAAGAACAAAGAAGTGAAGAAGCATATATTATGTAATCTAACTACTTCAGTCAAAATGCCCCCAAGCCTCATGTAGCAGTTATGAAGATAGGTTTGCAAGGAAAACATAGTTCTGGTGTAGATGATAAGGATCCTATAAAGATAGAGTCCTTACCTGAATCACAAGCAACCTGCTTCAAAGTGCACAGACTGTTGGCATTGGGTCCCTCTGGTGACCTCCATGAAAATTAACACCTAGCATTGAACAAAATTATGTCTTTGTTGTCCTACAACAAATTATAGAGCCTTCCCCACATCAAATACCTCGTAAAATAGTTACAAATACAGGATGGCATAACTAGGATTATTTTACGAGATGGAAAGTGAAGTTATATACGAATATGATCACATGCAGATGTCTGCCTCACTATCATACACGTAACTTCCATTTTACGTGCACAAAAATACAGTATTATTTGATATATGATAAATGACTCATGATAGACTCATCTGCAGGTACAACCAATAGCACATTTTGATCGATTCCAAATCTTGCACTTGTGCAAGTAGGCACACACCTACTCCAACAATGCATGTAAAGACTTCCACACTGCGACAAAGTTGAGGGTCTCTGAACCACTCTCCAATTTATGTTCAGTTGATTTGATCTTGACAAAGAGTAGCCAACCAAAGTCTTGTAACTTTCTAATTGTCTCTCTGCTCAGATCTGTTACAGAGCCTTCAAGCAAACACTGACTCATACCAAGTCATTCTCATGAGAATCTGGTTCTTTTACTGTTTAGCAATCCTAATCTCACCTTTTAAGTCTCCTTCAACCTCCCAAAGTCTATTTCATTATATGTTGCTCCTATGACAACCAAAGCAGTCTATAACGTCTAGCTCTCTGAAGTGCTACCAAAATGAGGGTAAGTGCCAGCTTTACAGAATAGAGTAGCAGACCTGTTTCTCATCCAACTAAGTTCATCTTTTGATTTGCATTGTTGCAGCTACTAGGATGGATGCAGCACAAGCTGTGGCAAAATAGTATTGAGCCATTCAAAGATTTCACAAGTGGTAACATGCACAACTAACTCATTCTGAAACAACCTCATGAAAAACAAGCAAATAACCACATGTTTAGATCAAAGCAGCTAAACAGAATAAATAGTTTACCTTCTCTACAATCAAGCATGAAGAAGAATCTACTGTATTTAAAGATAAAATTGGTAGTGATTTTCGACATGATATTTTTGCCTGCAACAAATGTTAGTAGCCAACTCAAAATTAACGCAGGTGGTCTCAGGCAAGTAGGTGAAGATTTGAATCATCTAACTTTTTCAGGTTTTCCTCACAGCAGTCATGATATGGGCTGGGGACTACACATCTTTTGTGGTCACAGCTTTATAAGAAATAACTTGATGAGGTTAATCTACAGGACCATGCTTCAGATTAACCTCCCCCCTCCCCCCAACAGCAAACATGTCACACTGAATGCATGGAAACCAAGAAAATAGACCACCATATCCTTGATGCAACTTGGTCAAGCACAACCTATGTTCCTATGCACTCCTCTTTTGATAAGTGATCTTCTTGAAACTTTTTTGCAGGGAATTATTGTACTTGCTTTTCAGCTAAGTCATCACTTAATGACCAAGACTCCTATTCAAAACCAACATTTGGCACTGCGTTTGAGTGCAGATCCTCAATGCAAAGCAGACAGGAATGCAAAAACTCATCTGGAGCAGAAGCGAACTTAGAAGATGGGGAAGGACTAGTTTTCCATGGCTTTCTCAGCATTGGAACTCTGGGTTCAGAACAAATCATCAGTGATTCAGAAACACCAAGATTCACCATGTCTTTGGAGAATATAGCTGAGGAGGAAACGGACGTGACAGAAATTGATTTGAAGCTTATCAATGACGAACTAGAAAAGTTCCTTGAAGCTGAAGCTGAAGGAAAAGGGTCCAACGAATCCTCAAAAAGGAACAGTCAGGTTAGTGCCATTACACTTAATGGCAAGCCAATGGAGGGAGCCTATTTGGAAGAATATGGGTGGATGATATGCCCTCTCCAAGGATACCTATTTGGTTCTTCAATTGACCTTCCAGAAACAAGAACTGAGGGGAAGAAGGACAAGGCATCACTTGCAGAGTTGTTCAAAAGGGAAAAAGTTACAGATGGGAGTTCAACAGAAAAATATGGGAAAGAGGAGATGCAAGCTAAGCAAACAAATAAGTCTGTTAAACATCGCATCATGAAGATTCTGAACAAGCTGCAATCTTCCTCTACGAATTCCAGCACTTCACCTAAAGAGACTTATTCTGTTTCAACCAAGAAAAGATTCCAAAAGGTGCGTCATCTGGCTCTAGGGTTACTATTAACTTTGTATGAAGCATTAAACCTACAATCAACTATGTAGAGTTCAAACTGGCATAAAAAACATACTTGCAGTCAGACCATCTGACTTAGCAGGCCAGAACAAGATCTTGAGGAAATCATAACTAAGAGGTTATATTTTCTTGGTATATGTCAGACAAGCATGTTTACCATATACTAAATATCATATATGTTCCCACAAAACAATAGTAGAACAGCAGAGGTCTTTAGTATCATGCTAAAGAATTAACTACAAAGTTTTCTGCAAAAGTCCTAATTTTCATTAAACATCACATGCAGGTCATAAAGATGTTCCACAGGAAAATCCATCCTGCAAGCTCAGCTGCTGAAAGAGAGCTTAAAAAGTCAAAAAAGTATATGATCAATAATACTCCCCAGTATGGTTTTCATCTTGAGGGAGACCAGATGCATCAGGATAAAGATGATTGTAAGTTCTGTCAGAGACATAGATCACAGGAAGGAAGACAATGTTGCAAGACCAACTCAAAACAGCCACAGAGCATGCTTGCTGGCAGTACTTCAAGTGGGAATAGGGAGCACTGGATCCGAACAGATGCAAACTGTAAGTATCATGCATCACCAAAATGATACACCCTATTCCACAATCTTGGTCATTCAAAGACATAAGACCTATGTCATAACCCACATAAGGAGGTGCAAACACCCGTAGGGGTGTCAACACCTACTGCCCAAGGCATCCCACATCAGCTAGACACATGAGGGATCACTGGTATATATGTGATAACACCCTTCAAGGCCTTTTAAAACTGTGAGGCCTGTGATGCAGACAATATTGGATCTTAACTTCTCTTTACCATTGATTCAGTTTTTTCTTCTTCTTCTTTTTTTCTTCTTTTTTTTTCTTTTTTTTGCCCCATGCAGCATCCAACTTTTTTAATATAAGATAATCTTTAAAAAATCTTGTTAAGAAAAGTGATTGCAGCTACTCCATAAGAAACAGCTGTTATCTAATAAATAGAGTATCAGACTTGTATATCCAACAGTTAAGATGACTGTCATCGTTAAATTCCATGTTTTTACATAAGTGCACATGACCTACGTTGGTAAGTATTTGAATGATTAGATTATTTAAAATATATTCTGAGACTCTTCTTCTGCTGGCACTGTAGACTTGGTATTGGAGTTGGAGTAAAGATGCTGCAACAAAGATTTAGTAGCTATCATCCTTCAGAAGTAAGAGCTGCCAATCCCATGCTTTTGTAGTATAATCTGTGTTATTCAGCTATTGTGTGATTCTAAGTGAATGTGGTGATAAACTCAAAAGGAAAGAGACTGAATATAAGACAGACTCTATCTTATCTTCCTAAGTGAAATAAATGTCATGCACTAAGTTTCATGTATGCTTCTAATTAAGTAGATAAGATTATAAAAACTTGTGTTATTTGAATTTCATATTTCTTTCTCCAAAAAAGTTTTTAGTTTTGAGTAAGTACATGCAAAGATCTAGTCACTAGAGCTGAACCTCACAGCATGAAGGATTGATGAGGGGGTCATCATCACAAGCTAAACTTTTAGGCGCTCTTCTCTCCAAAATCCACCCATTTCCATCCTCCAAGATAGATCAACTAGAGCTGCTAGCTCTCTGAAATTAAATTCAAAAGCCCACAAGCAGAGATGTGCAAAATGAAAACACACTAATGATATTCAACATGTCCCGAATCTAATATTCCTACACCCTAATGTTTGTAAAAATTATCATAACTTTTTAGGAGGTAAGTGTGTTGTGTTATGTGTGGTTCAATAGAGGATAAAGTAGAATAGATATTCAAAAGGTTACATACTTGAGGTCAATTCTTTCTTTAAAGCCTCAGAAGCTTTACAACATATGTCTGTGCCCTCCAATCTGATTATTTCAAAACAGCATTAACAATAATTTAAATAAATTTGACAAAAACCTTGAAATCTGTAGTGCCAAATGAAGGTTCAAAAATTCATAGACCAAAAAGCTAAAAGAAACACAACCATTCAAATTCATAGTCCCTAACCATCCATTGCCATAACAGAACCAAAAACTTAATCATTGGGTAACATTGCTATTAGCAACTTTTATTTCTAGACATCAAAATTTTCTTCAGTCTCTTATGAACAAACAGTTTAGCATGCGATCCAAAAACAAAAATACTACTTACTTTATGTTTACAAGATCTGCAGTCAATCATGGATAAGCAACCCGTCACATGGACGGATGTGTAAGAAAGTATGCAACACTAATTGATTGGAAAACAGTGAAGCAAAAACACTAAAAATAAATCAGATCATAAAACTCAACTTTTCTCAGGAAGGTAAAAGCTAACTCCATTTAAAAGATTAAGCTGCTTGCCCTGGATTCGATAATAAACATCCCGAACCTGGAAAATTGCAGATTAAATTGTCTCAATACGAAATCTAATAGAGATATTGAGTCAGGATAGTCGATTACGGAAAAGGAATAAAAGAAAACAGACTTTAGTTCAGGATAGTCAACTAAGGAAGTAAAGAGAAGAGTAATTTCGCATATCTGATGATTCTTTGCTTCCACGGAGCATGGACTGCTTGAGATTGAGCTCAGTGGTCTGGGATTTTTCGAACCGATCGGAGTAGAGGTTGCGAGGGGAGCGACCGCCATGTCTCTGCGGCGGAGAGTGAATGAAAGGAGTATTTACGTTATTAACTTAAGCTAAGGCCGGTGAAATTTCCGATCGGAATAGCGACGAACTTAAATGCGAGAGGTGGAAGAAGAAGGTGTTGCTCCGGGGAAACAGCGGGACACGGGTAGACGAAGAAGGTGAAATTTTTAAAATTTTGTCTTTTTAATTAAGTTTTATTTCTTTTGGGCCTGCTCTTGATTGGATTTGGACCATTCTGAACTCAATTGTATTTTTTTTTTCTTTTGGGCTTTGTTCTTATTTTATAGGGGAAGCCCAAGATTCCAATTTTCTCTTCTTTTTTTTTTACCTCTCTTTTTGATGTTTTATTTTTTCTATTATCATTTAATATCCACCAGCTAATATCACATCACTTATACTCAAATTTTTTTTTATTTTTAATTAAAATAAAAAAATTTACTATTGTTGAATATCTAAAGTCTCAATCCCTTAGGACATGTACAATGGTGTTCTCTTTCATTTAAAAGAAAAAAATAAAAATCAAACTCTATTCCTTTTGAAGCATATTTTGTAACACGAACTTGTCTCTTTATAGAATTTTCAGTTCGAAACAAAGAAATTTATTATTTTTAATTAAAATAAAAAAGTTACTACTACTAAATTTTTAATTCAAAATTTTTATTTAAATATATTAAAATATAAATAAAATAAAATAATATTAATATTTTTTAAAAAAAATTTATACCTTAAAAAATATATTTTATTTGAAAATTAATTATATTAAAATATAAATTTATATAAAATAATATAAACTATA